TTCTGAATTTAATTTCTCGATTTATGCGTGTCATCCTTGCGGAGGGGCCATGCTCATCTTCTCTGTATCTAGAGGGGACCCCTGCAAGCATAGTTTTCCTCTCTCTGTGAAGGGGAGATTTCATGTTGCGGCTTGCCCCTAATGGTTAGGGTATAGGGTTGGGGCCGCCAGTGGGGGTCTGGCTAACACGAAGACCGAGACCTGCCAGTAGCTTAGGAGTAGGTAGTGGAAGGTAAACAAACAGAAGTTGAGAGAAGAATATAGGCAGTCGTGATAAAAAGAAAAAACAGCCTTGGAGGCTTGTTACAACTTTTTTTAAAGGATTTGAAAAAGCAGCTTGCTTGATTTAAACCACCAGTAGTTGGGCGACGCCTCAGCCTTAATGCTACGCGATTTCCGCGGCCCGTGGGCCGTGGATAAATCGAATAGACAGCCCGCGCTGCTTTGAGGTTTGGGCGGCGCGGCGCGCAGTGCCCAAGTACTGGTGGTTTAAAGGATTTGGTGGTATGTGGTGCAGAGGTAGAGAGGGATCAGCCTTGGAGGCTTGTTACAACTTTTTTTGATTTTTTTGGAGGACTTATGAAAAGGGACAATGGACCCGGAGGGAGATCCCACTAGCCAGGTATGTGGATTAGTGTGACGGGTGGGGGACGGGTGGGGGACAGGTGGGTGGCAGCGTGAAATAGGGAAAATAAACGTAAAAAAACAAGGGCAAGAGTAACTCCATACACCATTTGCTGTAGGTGAGGGGATCGAACCCTCCCAAACACCTCCCAAAAAATAAGGGGGCACTCCATGTCAAAGGAAGAGGACAACAGCATTGCCCATGTGAAACATTGGCGGGGACTACAGACAACATGGACGAGGGTCTGACACGGACTGACATTCCCTCATGATGGGAAACAGCGAAATATTTCGTTTTCGGCCTCTTTCCACGCATGGGCCACGACCCAAAGGTGAGTGAAAAGCAACACAAAAAAAATGGGTCTGATTTTCACTCACGTTTGGGACCCCAAGAGGAACACGGCAAGCAAAACAAAGGAAAGACCACCCAATGGGATGCTCCAAAAAAACATATATTTTCGACTGCTAAAATACAGGAAAAACAAAACCACCGATCCCCATTCCCATCGACGGCGGAGGCGGGTCACACGCCCTCTACACTACTCCAAATACATGGCTAGTGGATCTCCCTCCCGGTTTCCAGGAGCCTACAGCTGGGTAAAGGCCCGAGCATGTGCTGTACCGGGTTGAGTTGTTGGGGTGTATTCCCGGGCCCCTACTGTCCTTTGGTAATGAAATTGCATTTCCTCCAAAAAAATAAAAAATAAAAATAAAAATAAAAATAAAAATAAAAAACATCTTCTCTGTATCGTTCCGCGAAGGACTCACTCTGAATTGAGTTTCCTTTGACCGGTGATAAAAGCATTCCCCCCCCCCCCCAAAAAAAGCATCCCCTGCAAGCGGGTATGGAGGCCCTTCGTGCTTTGCCAAGGGCCTCAATCCAGTACTCGACCGCATGCACAAATGAACAAAATTTACGGCGGTGTATATTTCCGTGTTCTATGGGAATATTCATGCTCATTTGGCACATTTGGTGAGGCCCCAAGGGAAGAAAAAAAAAAAGGTGCTGTGCGAAAGTCGGATGGTGGGTGTACATGTGGAGGTTTCGAGGGGATTGAGGAAAGAGGAGAGAAGAAACAGAGGGTTGATTACCCGTTCTTGACACGTGGCAGGATTGCGTTGACGTGTCGACTGATCATGATGTCGGGGGGG